GTCCAAGGACTGATCAGCTGTCGGTTGTTATTGTTTACTGTTGTGTATGTATATGTTTTTCTCGATGCCCATGATGATGTTCTGAGACGGACATTCGGATTTTCTCCGCAGCGCAAGCTTATATAAGTAATTTCGGGAGCAGTTCGGCGACGGGGGACATTTTGCACTTTTGCTACTTCCCATCGACGTGTCGACCTACAGCATCTCCTCGAGTGGGCAGGTTTAACGTGATGGCTTGACGACCTTGCTCCAGCTTCACAAGAGTTCACAGGTTTCGCCAGAGTGAGACTTGTAAACCGGAACTAAGGAAGCAATGATAGTACAAAATGCCCTCGTCGCCGAACTGCGCCGTAATTTTATATTATATTGTTGCCAAATAAACCAAATGAAGCGTCTTGTGGCTGTCTTGCCAGTAAGAGTTCGGTACCTTACTTTTTCGCAGTCTATGATGGGATGAGGTGCTTTCTCTATGCTAGATTGGGAAAAAGTAATGGAATTCAACTTCCGCAAGAGGCGATACCATTTTTATGCGAACAACTTTCCCTTTACACGGCTCTTTCGCAATATTCGTGGAGCTCCACCCTCTTCCAAAATCCATGAACCCCACGGAGGGTTGGGAAAACAGGTGTCCGACCATCTGTCAGAAATGGTGGAAGTCTGACTTCCAGAACGCCTGAAACAGGAAAAATTGGCAATGAAAAAAAAACTGCACCGGGCCAAATACGACTGTCTGCCCCCTCCTCACTGCTTCCTACCACTAAATACGACCAGTCGGATGAAAATTACACAGTTATACTTTATGCCTTCGTCAAGGCCCAGGTATTAGCAAACTTTTTGTACCTTTTCATCGGCTGAGTGAAGGCAACCTTGTGAGGCGAATAGGTCCACAGCTGCAGCGTGATTAATTCTCCGCCCGAAAGTGCACGAAAATGGGGCTGGAGGGTCGTGATGCCTGGGTGAAATCTCTGCTTTCCCGCGAGCTACCGTGGAGCACTTGCGTCGATATCAAGTCCCGTAACGCAAAGCGCATTCAGCTGTAGGGGCAGCCAGAAGTGAGAGGACGCGAAGCTTAAAAACGGGCGCGGGCATTTTGCACTTTGCTACTAACCAGAGAGCTATTTCATGAGCTCACAAGGGTTGACAGGTTTTATCATGGTAGCTCGACGAGCCTACTCTAGCTTAACAAGAGTTCACAGGCTTTACCAGAGTGAAACCTGAAAACCGGAACTAGTGCAGCAGTGAAAGTGCAAAATGCCCCCTCCTTGTCGCCTAACAGCGCCGTGAGAGGGCTCAGACAAGTAGTTCGTTTGGACATGGTTAGACTTGCAATGCGGCAGCGCGGTCAGAGTATGGATACGGTACCTGGGTGTCACTAGCCTCCAGTTCGTTCCCATGCACTTTTGACCTGAGGTGAGAAAGTATAGCTGAGGGCCCCTACGCCCAGACATGGCAGCGATCAGGATCCACAGATCTGAGTACACAGTTTGTCCTCGAAAAGGACTTAATGATCCACTGATCAGTCTCACCGATATACAGTCCATATATGCAGGCAGAGGAGGTATACCTGCCTGTGAGGATCTTGAGCGAACAGAAGCAGAAACGTAAGAACGAAGGAGAGCCGATTCGGGGATACGCATCCAGAGCTAGAAGGCCCCTTTTTCCTACAGTATGGACTTGGCTCCCGCCGTCGAAATAAAAAGTAAGTACTAATCGCCGATTACGCCCGACGGATTGTCAACTAATTTCTAGGAACCTAGTTATCTGTAGCCATAGGAGTAAGGGACAATCAGGGGGGGCTGGAAAAACCCAATGGGCGGATGGTTTGCTGGGTTGAGCCAGAAAATCTGACGTGGTCGAAGTGGTCCCTCTCCTTCCCGGGCTTCTTGAACACCTTCGTTACTGAAATAAAAGTAACGAAAAAATGTGTCAACGAATCTGTGCACTGACTCCCCAACCTTGGCGATCCTGGATGGCGTTTTCCGAAGTAGTCGAAAGCACGTACCAAAAAAACGAGCGAGAGAAATGCGAGAATCAAGTTCATATTCCCGTTCTAACTGAATCAGTTCCGGCCAGTTCCCTGATTCTCCGTGCTTGACTCACCATCAGAGAGTAATACACAACAGCCACAGCTTGATAACGAGGAATCAAAAAGTTTGATAGTGGAGCAAATGTTTAGCCCAGAGAATACCCTAAGCCCGATCATTGTTCATTGTAATTAGAATGCCGCCCACTGAGAGGTGCCTATGCACATTGTATTGAACCCAAGGGCCCTAATACCACCAGAATCAGCTGCCGGTAAACAGAATGCCGCCACTCAGGCATCTGCCGGCGCTAAGCCAATTGGCTCTGTTCCGCCAGCTGCAAAAGCTGTTTCATCACGCAGCCCAACAACACCATCACCAGCGGTGAGTGCCGAATTGAGAACTTTCTCGGGCAGATGGAAGAGCTTGTCAGTTTAGGCAGCGGTAGCCGCTAAACCAGCAGCGGCTGTGCAGCCACATCCGAATACTGCAACGCCAGCTACTCAAGCTGTCAAAGGTGCAGCAACTGTGAGTCTTATTCCAGAATCACTTCCAAATGCTAGCAACAAAATACAGAATTTCAGCCTGGTAACGGGGCTGCCCCATCTGCACCAAAGTTGCATCAAACATCTTCTACTAAAGGAAACAAGCCACCAGCAGCACCGCCCGTACGTTTTTTCTGATGGTTATACCGCTTATCAGCATGGAGTTTGAACAGGGCGCGCGATCGTCTTTCACAAGTGTAGGCCTTAGAATCGTTAGGTCATTTCGACAGCGGAATAGTTATAAAGAGAAAGGCCAAAGGAAACCGTGAAACATCGCAAGGGAAACGCTCCTTGGTTTGAGCAATCACTGACGACACGCGCAAAGGGGACTTGGCGATCCAGAGGTCAAGGCAAGAGCTCGATTTGGCAGGAGCACATACGAGTGATCGGGGTATGTGACAAGAGAATCGTACTTCACCCTGGTGAGCGTCGCGTGCCCCTCCGAATGATCGAGACCGCGGCTGTATAGCGAGTTGATGAAGATGGATTCAGCTTAGAAGGGCGCGGCCAGCTTGTCCGCCTGTTCCCATGTGTTTTATATACGCATTCGAGTTGTCGAAAAATGGACTCCCTCTGTGTTTGTCGTACTGCCACATCCTGCAAGATTAACGAGAATGCTTCATGAATGCGACACTCCTGAGTGCTACCTAGATTCCGACTGGTTCGCCCTCCCGAAAAAGAAGTGACCGATTCCAACAAAAACAGGATGCATACAGGAGGGGCCAAAAAAAGACTTTTCGGCCTAGTCACATATCAATAAAGTTTTCGCAGCCTGGACCAAAAGACGTGGATACGGTACCAGGGGGCGATGGATATCCAAGATATTCCTTGATAAGCAGGAGCAGGCTCTTGCCCATCACCTTCATGTACATCAAAATATGAAGCCATCTCCAATCCCAGCCTCACTTTAGAAGGCCTAAGGAATTTACGTCAGCTTTACACAGCTCCGAAACTTCTTGTATGGATCATACATGGACAGCTACCTGGAGACCAGTACTCTTGATCTGGAAGACCTCCAACATCGAGCAGCACCGGCAACGTCGCTACGGTCTAAGACATCATGTCCACCACGTCGTCAAGGCGCGGGCTGATGGTATGGAATGGAAGTTCCTGCAATGTAAAGATCGATATTTCCTTCGTGGACCCGGATTGGAATTGAATTCCGACTGCTACATCGAACAGCCCTATGAGAATCTCCAGCCTTCACGTCGCCGATTGTACCATCTTGGAACTTCTACTGCCTACAGGATTGGCAGCACGTGGACGAAGGGCGCTAAAAAAACTCTCGCCTACATGGAATAGAAGGGTGTTGAATACCTGAAGAAGACGGAGTATCTGAGTGTGCACCTGACCCTAGCCCCTCGTTAGCGGCTCAAACGCAAGCTTAATCAGGGTGGTCTCGTGCATTGAAATATACTGACCTACCCACACTCACACCGAATGCACGAGTCGATGACAAATCCGATGGCGTATCTCAGAAGGCTGAGGCGGAGTATCATAATAGTATTTGATAATCTGTTGAATATGGTGGTAGGAATGTCCAGTCAGAATTTAGTAAAGTATAACTTACATTGCCTTTGAAAGTCGAAGAAAAAAGCGTCTTTTTTTGACCCCACCCCCTTTACAAACCATATCGCTGGAGAAGGTGTTCCTATCAGTACTCCATATTTCGGGGATGGAGAGTGTGGCTGTGTACCTGCACATGGCGTAAGTGTATGAACGTTTTGCAGAGTATTTCATTTGAGACCACTGTCGTCCTAACTTGTCAAAAAGGACAAAGAAGAGACCACCAATTTCTCCAAGCGGTCAATTTAACCTCCCACCAGGCTGGTCGCCACCGTCAAAAAGGGTGCGCAGCCACACCTTCTCCATCTGCAGGATATAATGTAGCCATGAGCGCGGCCACGGATGCGCCCATCTGTTGGATCATGTGAGTCTAGGGCAATTTTTATCCCCGAAGTCTGAGTGCGTCAGCATTTCCTTGCACTGCCTGTGGCTTTGCTGTTTCTACCTCAACAGAAAGAGTTCATAGAAGTGCAGCCGCGTCGCGAGTGTGTTCTACGTCCACGGAGTCGCGGACACGCCCTCTCAAACGAGGATATGCGAACCGTTTAAGCGATAGTAACTCATCTAATGAGAGTTTATGCAGCGTATCCAACTAGAAAAGGAGACCAAAGAGCAAATCCTTGCTGCAATAATGGAACCGCCAGGCGAAGACGATAACAGCTCGTTGATAAGCATACAACCTTCGCAATCTGAAGTGAATATAGATGTACAGAAGAAACTAGTAAGTGACGAAGGCTTAGTTGATACTTTTCGAACTTTTTAAGAAAACTTCGAGTAGTAGGAGTATGTAACCTCCTACTTTAAAATCTTCGTCATTACAGCAAGATTCGCCTGTGGTGAAGGCTTTCGCTGAAGCCGAGAAGAAGAAATCGTCACAACATTGATGTTAAATGCATGCTGTGAAATGATCAGATTTTGATGTGCAAATTCAACATGTGAATTGTAATGTGTTTTCCAAACTAATGGCTTTGTACGTTTATTCAGTTTATAACTACTGCCGATTAAACTTTGTAAGTGGAACAGAGCCCTTCCCAAGGAAATTTTGTTATATCATCTCGAAAAAATACCGCAGTAAGAAAGCGGTAGGTCAACAAAAAAGGGATCAAAATTGCTGCTGCACCGGCAATCCGCCCTGCAAGACTGAAAGGCGCTGTTCGCGTAAGCGTGGAATTGAAATAGGAAAGAGAAGCCGCCAAGGGAATAATTTACGGAGAGAAACTTCAAAGGGAACTATAGAAACGCCCCTAATAGGACCCCTCTATCCTCAAGCAATTGTACGAGTACCCGTCCTGGTACTCGTCCGCTAGCATCGTTTTCGGTCGGCAGCGGACTGAAGAGGAGCCTGGAAGGAAAGGGAAGACCTGGAAGGGAAGACTGTAAGAAAGGGGCACCTTGGAGTTTTTGGACCAACTTTGCCCCCCTAGCGCCTTTGCCTTACAGCTTTCCGCCGCGAAACTAGTACAAGGTTGTACATTGCGGACCACACTATCCACGCCATTTTTTACATTTTCAAAGGTCATCGTGGACCGTTCCTTCAAGTTCTGTTTGCAAAATTTTACGAAAAAGCGTGGCCGCTCAAATCTGCTCCGCAAGTGAAGAGGAGAGAAATTGCAAGCAGGGGCGTGTAATGATCGTCTCATCCCACTCATGTAGTTGTGCATACGGTCAATCAACGGATACAGTGGGTGCGGTCTATCCTTTCATTCTATAAACCAGTAACTTTGTGTGTCGGTTTGTATGTTTGTATGTATGTATTGTATATGTATGTTTGTCTGTCCGTCCGCAAAATACTTCACGGGTTCGAGTTCGCTGGAGGCGAAAACGACCGCTAGGCAAACAGGCAAATCGGTGCGGAAGTATCAATCCAATGTTTTGATCGTGATATCGGCCTCCGCTATATAAGACAACCATTCGGTACACTCCGAGCCATTGCACGAGCTGCTGGCGTGGCAGCTGGACGTGTGCTCGTGCGGGGGCAGGGTGGGGTGGGGCCGAGAGAGGGGGAGCACTGGGCGCCCCCCTCCTCTCTCGGTCCCACCCCACCCTGCCCCCGCATTCCCCTGCGCGTGCTCAGCCCGATCTGAGCATGCGCAAGAGAAGGAAGGGGACGGTCCGACTGGAACACTGGGGCGTTTTTTCAAGGTATGATATAGGTTATGGCACAGGAATATGTGGGTGACAAGAACTGCTAGCCGCTGATAAAGGGAGTTAGAGTGGAAAGGACAACATACTCATAACGCGGTACACAGCATCAGTTAGGCGTTGATTTCAGCAAATGATATCAAGGGGAAGGTGGAGAATGCGACGGCGGGTGACAGGAAATGATAACAGCTGATAGGGCCTGATAGAGAACGATGCAGTTGTTGTTCAATCAAACGCTGGAGCCTCTACACCACGAAATTATGGAGTTTTAGTGATAGCGACATTGATGACGAGTGACAAGCAATTTTATCAATTGATAAGTAAAGATAAGGGGACATTTTCACGACATCTCTGACCACTACACTGCCAAAAAAGCCTCTCAGTAAGCGAAATTTTCCCACAGCCATCACTCCTCTGATAGCACTAGAAAATGTACTCATCCCACTAGGGGGGTATATACTTCGCCTGAAACAGGAAGTTTGGAGAAATCAAAAACTCCAATATTGGAACACACTTTATGCGTTCAGTGAGTATTTAAATATTTTTTTTTGCTTTTCAACCTTAAATCACTGATGAGAACGAATAACGAAGTAGTTTGTAAGATATTCAATGAACGCTGCCTAAATATTGTCATCTGCAGCCATTCATGCAACCTTAGCAGGTGGATCTTCTTTAAAATTTGATATTGAGAACTCGTTCACAAAACACCTTTATTGGTGAGCTTTCGCTGCCTTAACAGCTTCCTCAGACCTTAAACATAAAATCAAGTACACATAGTATTACAATTCCTAACAACTAAGTTGCTCGAAATACAAACCAGGTTGACCTGCCCGTCAACGGCAATTTGGTTAGAGTCTGTAATACAATGCCTAATACAATGGGAAACGTGCAACTGTCAACAATTAAACTACAATGGATGACCAGCTTACCCCAGCGCAACTGCCAATGCAACTAAAAGTCGCTAGAAATGTGACGCGCGTGACATTTGACACATTTCTTTATCACTACCGCTATCCTATTAGCCTCATTGCTTCCATGAGCTCCTCCCTGTTGTTGATCTCGGGGGATAGCCGCTTGATAGTGAGGGCTTCGAGCAATTTTCTTTCTAATGGGGCTTCCTTCGTGCGGTGTATAACAGTCACTTTTAGAGCGGGGGGTGCTTCTTGCTGGTGGTGCAGAAGACGATGCCGCGAGAATCCGCTCTTAGGGTAGGAAGAGGGATTGCGTAACGCTCGCACATGTTCATCCATCCTTTTATGTAGTGGTCGCATGGTCTCGCCTACGTATCTTTGACCGCATCCTTCGCATGTGACCAGGTAAACTGTTCCACGTAATTGACAGATTTTAATTTCTGTGCAGTACGTGCAATTCGTTCGGCCACATTTGTCTTCATAAATCCGAGATGATGTCAGTAAGCTTCTTAGATTCGCAGGTGGTCGAAATATTAGCTTGATTGGAAGACGCGACGACTTAACGGCGTGGTTCACTTTCTTCGCGATTCGTTCATTGACGTAGGGTAATACCAGTGGTATCCCTCCAGCAGCAAAGAGAAGGTCTCCACGTTCTTGGTTGACACGTCGTATAACCATTCTCTTCCAAGATCATCGCTATTTTTCTGTCCACCTCTACTGATTCTCTAGTGCAGGTGTTGGTCTTCGTTGTGATAAGATTCCTTATCACGTTGGCCTTCATGTATAACGGGTGTGCACTTCGAGAATGCAGAAGGATATTCCTTGACATCGGTTTCCTATACCATTCGAGTTCCTTGATGCCATGGTTGATCCGAACCTTCGTATTGAGGAACGGAAGGAAGCCGCGCTCATCAGGATGTTCCACCGTAAAACGTATATTGGGATGAATATATGATATGATGATGTTCACCGCCGATGCAATGAACACGATGCTTCAAAATCTGAACTCGTGTGATCCCAATATACGTTTTACGGTGGAACATCCTGATGAGCGCGGCTTCCTTCCGTTCCTCAATACGAAGGTTCGGATCAACCATGGCATCAAGGAACTCGAATGGTATAGGAAACCGATGTCAAGAAATATCCTTCTGCATTCTCGAAGTGCACACCCGTTATACATGAAGGCCAACGTGATAAGGAATCTTATCACAACGAAGACCAACACCTGCACTAGAGAATCAGTAGAGGTGGACAGAAAAATAGCGATGATTTTGGAAGAGAATGGTTATACGACGTGTCAACCAAGAACGTGGAGACCTTCTTTGCTGCTGGAGGGATACCACTGGTATTACCCTACGTCAATGAACGAATCGCGAAGAAAGTGAACCACGCCGTTAAGTCGTCGCGTCTTCCAATCAAGCTAATATTTCGACCACCTGCGAATCTAAGAAGCTTACTGACATCATCTCGGATTTATGAAGACAAATGTGGCCGAACGAATTGCACGTACTGCACAGAAACTAAAATCTGTCAATTACGTGGAACAGTTTACCTGGTCACATGCGAAGGATGCGGTCAAAGATACGTAGGCGAGACCATGCGACCACTACATAAAAGGATGGATGAACATGTGCGAGCGTTACGCAATCCCTCTTCCTACCCTAAGAGCGGATTCTCGCGGCATCGTGTTCTGCACCACCAGCAAGAAGCACCCCCCGCTCTAAAAGTGACTGTCATACACCGCACGAAGGAAGCCCCATTAGAAAGAAAATTGCTCGAAGCCCTCACTATCAAGCGGCTATCCCCCGAGATCAACAACAGGGAGGAGCTCATGGAAGCAATGAGGCTAATAGGATAGCGGTAGTGATAAAGAAATGTGTCAAATGTCACGCGCGTCACATTTCTAGCGACTTTTAGTTGCATTGGCAGTTGCGCTGGGGTAAGCTGGTCATCCGTTGTAGTTTAATTGTTGACAGTTGCACTTTCCCATTGTATTAGGATTGTATTACAGACTCTAACCAAATTGCCGTTGACGGGCAGGTCAACCTGGTTTGTATTTCGAGCAACTTAGTTGTTAGGAATTGTAATACCATGTATACTTGATTTCATTTAAGGTCTGACGAAGCTGTTAAGACAGCGAAAGCTCACCAATAAAGGTGTTTTGTGAACGAGTTCTCAATATCAAATTTTAAAGAAGATCGTACAACTATGAGGCTCAGGGATAGCTCGATTTTATCATATATCTTAGCAGGTGGATTGCATGTTAATGACAAGTTAATCGCCCATCGTTGGTGTTGTGATGCATGTAATAAAAACGAGAGAGGTGTTGCAGTGTACTGTGCTACAATCCTTACATTCTATAAACCACTAACTCTGTGTGTCGGTTTGTCGGTATGTATGTATGTATGTATGTATGTCCGTCCGCAAAATGCTTCACGGGTTCAAACACGTCAGTGTAGGAGAGTGTACGACCGCTAGCCGGTGGCGAAACCAGTTGGTGCAGATGTATCAATCCAATGTTTTGATTGTGATAACACCCTGCACTATATAAGAGAACCATGTAGTGCACTCCAAACCATTGCACGAGCTGCTCGCGTGGCAGGTGGACGTGAGCACGTGCAGCGGCCGGGATGGGGAGTGGGTGGGGCAAGTGGGAGTGGGGAGGGTATAATGTGGGTGGGTGGGATTAGTGAGGGAGAGTACGGGAGGGGAAGCATAGAGTGCGTTTAGTAGAAACTCATCACAAGTGTGGTAATAAAAGCGCCAATGAAAGCGATAAGGTGAATAGAGGAAGGATCAACCGCTAGCAGAGTCGCGAATAAAATCCATGT